ACCAGACAAGGATGCCACAAAAAAAGAAAATTGCAGGCCAGTATCCCTGATTACCATAGATGCAAAAATCTTCAAAAAAGTATTAGCAAATAGAATTCAACAATACCTTAAAAGGATAACACACCATGATCAAGTAGGATTTACTCCAGGCATGCAGTGAGGGTTCAATGTTCACAAATCAGTCAATGATACACCACATTAACAGAGCAAAGGATAAGAATCATATGATCATTTCAATAGATGCAGAAGAAGCATGTGACAAAATTCATTTAGAATGAAAACACTCAAAGCAGGTATAGAGGGAACATACCTCAACATAGTAAAGGCCACATATGACAAGTTCATAACTAACATCACACTCAATGGTGAAAAGCTAAAAGCTTTTCCTCTAAGACCAGGAACAAGACAAGGTTGCACACTCTCACCAATTTTATTCAACATAGTATTGGAAGTCTTAGCCAGAGCAATCAGGGAAAAAAAACGACGAAATAAAAGACATCCAAATTAGAAAGGAAGAAGTAAAACTGTCACTATTTGCAGATGACATGATATATGTAGAAAACCCTAAAGACTCCATTAAAAACTCTTAGTACTAATAAACAACTTTAGTAAAGTTGGAGGATACAAAATCAACACAAACATCTGCTGCATTCCTTTATGCTTATAATGAACTATCAGAGTGAGAAACTATCAGAAGACAATCCCATTAACAATTGAATCAAAAAGAATAAAACACCTAGGAATAAATTTAACCAAGGAGGTGAAAGACCTGTATATTGAAAACTATGAGACATTAATGAAAGAAATTGAAGAAGACTCAAAAAATAGAAAGATATTCTGTGCTCATGGATTGTAAAAATTAATTTTGTTAAAATATCCATACTACCCAAAGCAATATACAGATTCAATGCAATCCCTATCAAAATTGAATGGTATTTTTCACAGAAATTTCACAGAAATAGTACAAACAATCCTAAAATTTGTATGGAACCAAAAAGACCCCAAATGGCCAAAGCAATCTTGAGAAAAAAAGAACAAAGCTTGAGGCATCACACACCCCAATTTCAAACTATGTTACAAGGCTATAGTAATTAAAACAGTATGGTATTGGCATTAAAACAGGTGCATAGATCAATGGAACAGAGTAGAGAACCCAGAAATAAACTCATGCATATATGGTCAGTTAATTTACAACAAAGGAGCCAAGAATATGTAATGGGGACAGAACAGTCTTCAGTAAATACTGTCTGGGAAAATTGGACAGCCACATGCAAAGGAATGAAACCGGACCACTATCTTACACAATACGCAAAAACTGATGACCAACTTAAGTGTAATACCTGAAAACATAAAGCTCCTAGAAGACAACATAGACAGTAAACTACTAGTATAGGTCTCGGCGATGAGTTTTTGAATCTGCACCAAAGGCAAAAGCAACAAATGCAAAAATAAACAAGTGGGACTACATCAAACTAAAGGCTCCTGCACAGCAAAATAAACAATAAACAAAATGAAAAGGCAGCCTACAGAATGAGAGAAAATAACTGCAAATCATATATTTGATAAGGGGTTAATATCCAAAATATATGAAGAACTCATATAACTCAATATCAAAAACAAACAATCCAATTAAAAAATGGACAGAAGATCTGAATGGACATTTCTCCAAGGAAGACATACAGATGGCCAACAGGTACATGAAAAGATGCTGAACATCATTCATTCAGGGAAATACAAATAAAAACCACAATGACACAGCACCTCATACCTGTTAGAATGGCTATTATCAAAAAGACAAAAAAATAACAAGTGTTGGCAAGGATGTGGAGAAAAGGGAAGACTTGTGCACCGTTAGTGGGAATGTAAATTGGCTCAGCCACTATGGAAAACAGTATGAAGTTTCCTCAAAAAAATTAAAAATAGAACTATCATATGATCCAGTTATTCCATTAGAATCTGGGTATTATGAGAAGAAAATGAAAACACTAAAGATAACTGCACCTTGATGTTCATTGCAGCATCATTTACGATAGCCAAGATATGGAAACAACTTAAGCGACCATCAATGGATGACCAGATAAAGAAATTGTGGCATAAATACACAATGGAATATTATTCAGCCATAAAAAATAATAAAATCTTGCCACTTGCAACAAAATGGGTGGACTTTGAGGGCATTATGCTAAGTGAAATAAGTCAGACAGAGAAAGACAAATACTGTATTATCTCTCTTATATGTGGAGTCTAAAAGACAAAGAAAGAAACAAAAAACAACCAAGCTCTTGGATACATTAAACAGATTGGTGGTTGCAATAAGTGGAGGGTGGGTGGGGGTGGAAGAAATGGGTGAATTGTTATTTACTTATTTCTTTATTTTAGTTTATATAAATTGAATAAACCTTTTTTTTTAACTGGCAAATATAAACAGGAGAGTATAATTGATCTCTCATTCCAGATTCAGTTGAAAATAGCCATCCTGGGGCCATTGCTAAGGTACAGAAAGGGCACAGAAATTTAGACGTCTACCCAGTTTTCACTCCCTGAGACATAGTGGGGGTCTTGGCTAATAGAGCTGTGAATATTCAGTGAAGGACAATAGTTTATCACACACGCAAAGAATTATAATTTAGCTATAGGGAGGGGCGCCTCTGATTATTCACTGAGAGCCTGCCCAGTTAGGAGGTTGTACCAGAAAGCGATTATTCACCACCCACCCCAGCACTGCTGCTAGCCCATGGCCTCCAAGTCTTTGCTGGTGGGTCTGTCCCCAAATGCAAAGATACCACGATGCAAACAGGAGCTGCAAATCTCATAAAAGATGCAGCTTGTCTCGAAGGCCATGGGTAGCATGGAGAGCTTCTCTTCCTGTGTGGGAAGCAGCATATGAGGCTGGACAAAGCTGGTCACTTAGAGATAAGAGGAAATGGGTTTCTCCCAGTCTTGGCTCAGTCATATGGGTGACCATGCTGGTCAAGCCACTTGGCCCAGCACACACTACAGGCAGAGAAGGAACCTGGGAACCCCGGGAGTTGAATCAAAGCAGAACAGCCCCATGAATGGTCCAGCCAACAGAAGGCAGCCCAGACTGAACGCTGAGGTCACCTCCCTTTTACCCGATGGGCTAACCACCCGGGAGCCACACGTGACAATGATGAGCGGGGGCTCTATGACAGATGCCTGCCAGGTCTCCACGTAAGCATGGTGGCTGCTTAGAAAAGGAAGAACATGGACCTTGGAGTCACATGAACCTGGGTCTGAATCCTCTCCTGGCTGCGTGGCTTCAGGCAGGCCATTTAATCACTCTGAGCCCCAGTTGCCTGTCTAAAAACGTGGGGGCTGGTCTTTCCCCGCAGGGTTTGCAGGACCACGCCTCTCGTGTTCAGAGTCAACATCTGCTCAGGTACACCAGAAGCTGGCCTCCCCTGACTTCCGCTGTGAACCAGTCCATCCTTCATTCACTTCCCAGGAAGTGAGCCTCTGAGCCAGCCAGACCCAGCTGGACCTGCAGTCTACCTCCCAAGGTCAGGAACTGCCCAGGTTGGGTTATTCCTGTGTCTGAGGACATACATCCAGGCCCCAGCTGGGGCTGGGTCCGCTGCCCAGGTGACCACCTAGAGGTTGGTCTCTCCCCCCGGCAGCTTCCCTTCATTTCTATAAATGCCTTTTCCTCCACTGCTTCCTGAATGGGTCATCAGGTAGGATCTTCAACCTTTTTGTACCCTAATCAGATTAATTCCTCCAAATCTGGAAAGTATTCACAATTTTGGGTCACTAATTCCAGCAACTAATAGATATTAAGAACACAGATATCTCTATGTCTATACCTGTGTCTGTATCTATATGCTTTTTTTTGAGTTGATAAATTTTTGTGACCTTGTGTGATTTTTTTTTGCAATTGAAGTATAGTTAATTTACAGTGTCATGTTAGTTTCAGGTGCATCTATATGTTTTTAAGTGACAACCCTCCAGAGGAAAAATTCTATAAAGGAAAGGACATTATTTGGTCAACTGACAAAACTGGAATATGAATGGTAAACCAGACAAAAGTATTGCATCAGTGTTCAATTTACTGGAGTTGGTAACTAAATCATGGCTATAGAAACCCTCTTCTTAGAAAATACTCCCTAAAGTATTTAGGGATAAATGAGGTAAGCAACTTTCCCTCAAATGGTTCAGAAAGAAACTATGCACATAAGTTTATATACATTATTACAGATAATCATACAGTCATTTATACACACAGGCAATGTTATACACACACACGGGAGACAGAGAGGGGGAGAGAAAGCAAACGAATGATAAAATGGGGTAAAATATTAATAATATGAGAATCTGGCAAAAGGGCATTAAGTGTTCTTCAGGCTCTTTTCATTTCTGCAACTTTTCTATACATTTGAAATGATTTCAAAATAAAGGATAACATAAAAAAAAAGACAGCCCCCAAACCTCAACTTAGGCTTTGAAAACCTACGTTATTTGTTTTGGGATTTTCCATTTTAAGTCCTACCTTTCCAGGTTCGTGTGGAGGCAGGGACAGCTAAGGCAGAGACACCACAGTATGCGAACACGTCTCTAACTGATTCTCCTTCAACTTGGAAACACGTGAGGTCACACGGAATTCCATGCCAATGGCGGGGAGATAGATGTGTGTGCACATAGACCCCCAGTGCATATATGCATCTGTCTCTCCATTTCTCTGTGGACTGATTTAAACTTTGGGATGCAGCCCCAATGCCCACAAGGGTCAAGCTAGTGAGTGAATGAAACAGGCCAGGCATAAGAAGAGTCAACTACTAGAAATACAATAAAACTTTCTTGATTTTTACTGGGCTATGGGGAAACATAAAATGTCATACAAACAAGTATGATAACTGCAAATGACATTTCTGAGTCAAAGTGGGAAAAAACAGAAAACCAGATATATTTAATAACTCATTTTCTCATCTTGCAATCCCTCGGGCCTAGAGGATTCTAGGCTTCCAGCCCACGGGATCCTGCAGGAGTGTGTTTCATCACGTCGCGATGTGGAGTACAGAATCCCACTGGGAGTCCTTCAACTGGGAGCAGTACTCAGTTTTACTCAGTTTCATAATGGAAAAGAGCTGTTCACAAATGTAGGTACTCCCGAACATGGAGAGAATCTTGGCACAGTGGGTTTTGTACTTGGGATAGCTGCTCCAGAGGTACTTATAGAATTCTGGTATTCCAACCTTGTCGTATTTGGTTTTCAGGACCGTGTTGCACTGCAGATCAATTACCTCCATCTGGAGCGCTTCCTGGACGCTCTCGATCTTCATGGAGAAAGGGGAGCTGAACAGGGTCAGTTCACTTTCGTAGACTTTGAAATCAGACAGCCTTTTCTGGAATTCCGTCTTTAGCTCCACGATTTTGGGAATGTAGTTCAGCCCATCGCTTTCGTTTCTGGAAACCGACTTCAGGGTAGGAAAGTGGGCCAGGTTATTCCTGGCCAAATGAGTCTCCCAGAGGCACAGTTTAGCCAAGAACGCCCGAATCAAGTCATACATCTGTGTCACGATTTGGGAATGCCCTTGGAGAGAGATATTCAACGTGTTCAGATGCATAGTCATGTCCACCAGGAAGGCCAAGTCTTTGATCCAATCTTGAGAGCTCAGCTGAGGCAGGGGCTTGCCTCTGGAAGACATGAAGGAGTCAATTTCTTCCAACGAGTCAAAGAACCTCTTCAGCACCAGCCCGCGGCTGAGCCACTTAATCTCCGTGTAGTACAGAAGGCTGCCGTATTGGCTGTCCAGCTCATAGAGCAAAGTCGTGAACTCGCTGTGGTTCAGTCCGCGGGAGCAGATCCAGTTCACGGCATTAACTACCACGCTCATGATGTGGTCCATCTTTAACTTTTGAGCACAGAGCGATTCCGGGTGAATAATGCAACAAACGGACTTCAGATCTGAGCCCTTGCAAGCCATCGCCACCTTGGACTTGAGTTTTGTGACCAGCCCGTCGTTGGCATCTACCATTGCAGGAGTGCCAGTTGAGGCCACACTTACTAATTTCGACCAGTCGATATTAAACTTTTTAAGACTTTTCTCAACACGCAAAAAGATCTCATTTCCAGATTTTGTCCCCGTCATGGGCACCGTATCCAAAAGTTCTTCCGATACATCAAAATTCTCATCAACGCCGCGGATGAATATGGCCAACTGGGTGGTGTTATTTATATCTGTGATCTCATCGATGGCAATAGAATAGGCCACAAACGATCTGATTTTTTCACGTAATTTCTCCCATAAGTTCCCAGCCACGTCTTCTATGGGCTGGACGGCAGGGTTTTCCTTTGGACTCACATTTGCAAACACTCGTTTTTGCTCGGGACACACGATGTCTGATGACCCTAAGAGATACTTTCTGAGCCCTTTCTTCAGCTCCTGGAGCTTCTCGTCGCGCATCTTCTCTGTGTACTGGTCATAGTGCTTGCTGTGGTTGGTTTGATAATGGCGTCTCAGGTTGTATTCTTTGGACACAGACATGCTCTGTTTGCATATTAAACACGTAGGGATATTCTGCACCTCCACGAAGAAATATGCTCTCTCCCACTTTTCTTGAAATACACGGCCCTCTTGGTCTATCTTTCTTTTTCCCACTTTTGATAGAAACATGGAGACAAGAAACAGTTCAGTTTTCTCTTAAATCGACTGTTAGTCTAACACCAGCAAGAGCATGATGACAAATGCAAGGGATAAGGTGGCGGGGTGGGGCGTGGTTAACTGGAGAGCACCCCAGCCCTGCAGAGGTGTGGGGTGAGGACGGGGGACACTCGGGGCAAGCGAACTACTGCCAGAGGGAGCATGGCCCTGGCCTGCCCAGATCTTCAGATTGCTAAAGAAAACCTGGAAATGGACTTTTATGAAAAAGTCCCCGGTTTTTCAATGTTGGCCACTAATTCCCTTTTTTAAAAGGTAGATGAGGCAAGGGGCTTCCCTGGTGGCTCAATGGTTAAGAATCCGCCTGCCAATGCAGGGAACACGGGTTCGAGTCCTGGTCCAGGAAGATCGCACATGCCATGGAGCAACTAAGCCCGTGCGCCACAACTACTGAGCCTGCGCTCTAGAGCCCGTGAGCCACAACTACTGAGCCCGCGTGCCACAACTACTGAAGCCTGCGCACCTAGAGCCCGTGCTCCGCAACAAGAGAAGCCACCACACCGCAACAAAGAGTAGCCCCCGCTCGCTGCAACTAGAGAAAGCCCGTGCGCAGTAACACAGACCCGATGCAGCCATAAATAAATAAATAAATAAATGAATAAATAAATAAATAGATAAAATTAAAAGGTAGATAAGCCAAAAGAAAGACAACTTTGGTGAGGTTCAGCAAGTGGCTATGCTTGCCCATCTGGTTTAAATGAGAATGATTTGAAAGTGTATCTGCATTTTAACATATATTTTTTCATTTGATTTTCAAGAGAAGTTTGAAATAAAAGAGACGGGAGTGAGCACAGAAGACGTATGATTTAACTGCTGTGAGTCCCAGAAGACACCGGTGATAGCCACAGACCCTCACAGAACTTACTTGTTTTCAATGTAAAGAAATGGGCCACGATGCAGGTGAGCTTTACTTTGAAAGAACATAGGTATAAAAATTCACTTTCAGAAAATGTAGGCAGAGACAAGCAGTCAATTTAGTGGCTGCCTGGGGCTGGGGGTGGGAATGGGAAATGACCAGAAATGGGTAGGAGGAATCTTTCAGGTGGGGGGATGGAAATGTTCTAATATTAGATTGTGGTGATAGTTGCACAACTCTGGAAATATACTAAAAATCACTGAATTGTGTACAGTTTGCACAAGTGAATTTTACGGTATGTAAATTTATGCCACAATAAAGCTATTAAAAATGTAAAAAGCTATTTAACAACCAGAGGAGTTTAGGAATAATAATTGTGGATTTTAAAAGAACACTTTAGTTTCCAAATTTAAATGAGGAGTTTCCCTAGATGACTCTTGGGAACACTGTTACATGTTATGCTTTTCTTTCTTTCTATAGGTACTTTACTTTTTTAGAATTTTATTGAAATATACTTATTTACAATGTTGTGTTAGTTTCAGGTGTACAGCAAAGTGATTCAGTTATATATACATATGCATATATATATAAATAAATATATATATATATATATATTCTTTTTTAGATTCTTTTCCATTATAGGTTATTGCAAGATGAGTATAGTTCCCTGTGCTATACAGGAGGTCCCTGTTGGTGACGCCTTCTGCTTTAATATCCAATAGGATTTTGACTTGCTTGCAAGGATTTTAGGGGAGACATTAAAAATATTTAACAAGTAGAGTGGCTGGGACATTGCCCAATCAGAACAGAAGTCAACTGGAGTGGGTTCTGGGAGCCCTGCTGTGCCAGGCCCTGTTGGTTCTGAACTGTGGGGAGGTCAGGGGTGGCCAGGCAGGTACTATTTACCAAATAAGGTAGAGTAGTAGTTCAGTATTATGACACGAGCCGCCCCCATAAAGGACTCTTAAATAAGAATGTTATCACACACAGCAAGCGCCATCGAATTGTTATATGAGAAAAAAATGCCTGGAACTCGAGCCACAGAATTAGAGGGCTTTAAAAGAAGCAGGGAAACAAAATGCACATAAAGAGCGGCATGCTTTGCTCTTTCTGGTGGTGAGTGTCCACTGAGCGCACGTGGCACAGCAGGGGCTAGGACCATCTTCTCTCCCCCAGGATACTCACCATTGCTGAGTTCAAGGCCGGGAAGTGGTCTGAAGAGAGAGAGACATTGGTGAGTGCAACAGAGGTCACTCTTCCTCTCTTGTCCATTTAGTTCTATTTGACAAACTTTTGTGAGTGTCAGTGCGAGGCTGAACTAAAACAGGCTGCCCACGATCACCAAGAAAAGGGAGCGAGGACACACAGCTCCCAGAAGCAGAATACGATGAACTGAGTGTGACGGGCAGCAGGACATAGCACTTGACTGCAGGGACCCACAGCCCACGTCCTGGGGTTAGAATCCCTGTGCCCCCCAGCTTCTCCGCCTCGAGCAAGCTACGATCAGCAGCTCATTCTCCTGACCAGGCAGGGGACTCTCACGTACCTGATGACTGTGAATTTGATAAATTCTGCGGCATCCAAGATCCTTCTCATGGAGCTGATTTCCAGGTAGCCAGGGGCTTTGAATACCACCCCCGGGGGCATGCCATCGATGACCACACAGCCGGGGTTGAAGGTGATCTTCCTGTAGGGAACTTTAACAGGGAAATCCACTCCAATTGCTTCACCTGTGATGATACAAAGAGTATAAAACCAGTTGTGTGTCACTTGCTTTTCCCAAACCATGCTTTATCTTTAATGTCAAGATTTTAAAGTTAATCGCATCAAGTAACAACATTGGTGATCAGCCATTACTTTATTTTCCAGCCATGCTAGGGTGTATGAATAATTTTATTGATTTTGAAATGGGTAACAGGTAGTGTAGCAGACTGTTTCTCTCCCCATGAAATAGGCATTATCCTAGTATCTACCTGAAAAGGGTTTTGTGAGGATTAAATGATGAATCACAAGTCAAACACTAAAAACAATACTCAGCTATGGTAAAAAGTCAGTAAGTGAAAGATAGCTATTATAATTATTTAAAAAATATTTTAAATTTATTTTTAATTGAGATATAATTGACATAACATTGTATTAGTTTTAGGTGTACAACATAATGATTTGATAAAGATAGCTATTTAAACATTTTTTTATTGAAGTATAGTTGATTTACAATGTCGTGTTAATTTCTGCTGTACAGCAAAGTGATTCAATTATACATATATATACATTCTTTTTTTATTTATTTTATTTTTTATTTTTATTTTTTTTGTGGTACGCGGGCCTCTCACTGTTGTGGCCTCTCCTGTTGCAGAGCACAGGCTCCGGACGCGCAGGCTCAGTGGCCATGGCTCACGGGCCTAGCTGCTCCGCGGCATATGGGATCTTCCCGGACCGGGGCACGAACCCGTGTCCCCTGCATCGGCAGGCGGACTCTCAACCACTGCACCACCAGGGAAGCCCTACATTCTTTTTTTAATATTCTTTTCCATTATGGTTTATCATAGGATATTGAATATAATTCTCTATGCTATACAGTAGGACGTTGTTTATCCATTCTATATATAAAAGCTTACATCTGCTAATTCCAAACTCCCACTCCATCACTCCCCCAACCCCCTCTCCCTTGGCAACCAGCAGTCTGTTCTCTATGTCCGTAATTCTGTTTCTGTTTCGTAGATAGGTTCATTTGTGTCGTATTTTAGATTCCACATAAGTGATATCATATAGTATTTGTCTTTCTCTTTCTGACTTACTTCACTTAGTATGATAATCTCTAGCATCCACATTGCTGCAAATGGCATTATTTCATTCTTTTTTATGGCTGAGTAGTATTCCATTATATATATATATATATGCCACATCTTCTTTATCCATTCATCTGTCGATGGACATTTAGGTTGTTTCCATGTCTTGGCTATTGTGAATAGCGCTGCTATGAACATAGGGGTGCATGTATCTTTTTGAATTAGAGTTTTGTCTGGATATTTGCCCAGGAGTGGGATTGCACGATCATATGGTAGTTCTATTTTTAGTTTTCTAAGGAACCCCCATACTGTCCTCCATAGTGGCTGCACCAACTTATATTCCCGCCAACACTGTAGGAAGGTTCCCTTTTCTCCACACCCTCTCCAGCATTTATTATTTGTAGACTTTTTTTTTTTTTTTTTTTTTTTTTTTTTTTTTTTCGTACATGGGCCTCTCCCGTTGTGGAGCACAGGCTCAGCAGCCATGGCTCACGGGCCCAGCCGCTCCGCGGCATGTGGGATCTTCCCGGACCAAGGCCTGAACCCGTGTCCCCTGCATCGGCAGGCAGACTCTCAACCGCTGCACCACCAGGGAAGCCCATTTGTAGACTTTTTAATGATGGCCATTCTGACTGGTGTGAGGTGGTACCTCACTGTGGTTTTGATTTGCATTTCTCTAATAATTAGCAATGTTGAGCATCTTTTCATGTGCCTATTGGCCAAAAGATAGCTATTATTATGAAATTAGTGTTTCCATGTAAAAGTTCTTCTTCAGTAAAAATACACACTAATTTTGATCACATCTCCTTCACAGAAAGATCAATTTCTTAGATAAAGTAATCAATTAGAAGGAAATATTTCAAATGTATAAAATTTGGTTATGTAACAATATAAAAACGTACCAAATTTTCGGCTAAAGAGGTCATTGACTTGTTCTCTTAGTTGTTTTATTTTTTCAATGCTTGATAATCTTTCCTTCTCATTATCTAAAAAAATTAAAAAAACAAGCAAACCAGGTTTATTCATGTATTTGCTCCCCTGAAAATCTGTTGGAGGAAACACCTGTTAGCACATGTGAAAGCACTTTACCTGGCTTATCATTCAGTTTAGTTTTAGCAATAATTAAGCATTTTGGAAATTTGTAAATTTAAGGCATTATAGATGACAGAGAATTTTCCAAATTATGACTATGTAAATATAAGACATACTACTTTAGAGAACATTTTCAATATCATGCAAGATAAGGATGTCCACTTTCACCCCTACTCTTCAACATTATAATAGAGATCCTAGCCAGTGCAATACAGCAAGTAAAATGAATAAGATGTATGTACTAGGATTGGGGGGAAAATTTTTTAATACTTGAAATTTTTATTCTATTTAATTTTGAATAACGAAAAGTGATTATGTGGTTCAAAATTCAGGTGATATAAAACAGTACATCATGAAATGTCTCCCTTCCATCCCTATCTTAGCTCTCAAGTTTCCTTCTTTGGAGGAATCTATGCTATTAGATTCTTTTGTATCTCTCCAGATATGTTTTATATACACCTATTCAGAAAAGAAGATAAATTGATGGGCAGCAAATACATTTCACCTCTGTGGCCAGTTCCAATCCAATGGTAGCCAGTGCTTGGAGTTGGCTGCCCTAAGGGGTATTTTCCAGGTAATGCACCAGGGCAGGGCTGTGAGAAGCAATATATCTGATAAACAATGTACAATATAGCAAGATATTCAGTGTGCGGCAACTGGAAGCATATTTTATATTCCTGAATTGTCTTTCCTTAGTTGACAGGGTGAACTTAGCAAAAAAATAGCTCCAAGAGACTAACCCATGTCACAAAGTGGTTAAAATATAACAAAATGAAAAACATAATCTAAATTATGATAAAGTCAGATAGAATTCCATACCTGGAATCGTCACCTGAACGATGTTAAGATCTTCAACACCTGCTGCAGAATTTGTAATATTGGATGAATTGGTGTTTCCTTAAACAGAAATTGAAATTTAGAACTTATAGAACATTAGGCTACTTCTCCTCTAAAACTATCAAATTGCCACTTTGATCAGAAGGCCAGACTAGGGAATTCCCTGGCGGTCCAGTGACTAGGACTTGGCACTTTCACTGCCAGGGCCTGGGTTCAATCCCTGGTTGGGGAATTAAGATTGTGCATGCCAGGAGGCATGGCCAAAAAAAAAGAAGGCCAGGCTAAATTTTTATAACTCCAGAGAACATTTAGCTGGCTTGGCAATAATTGATGTTTGAGTCTCTGTAGTTTAATGTCGATGTCAAAGGAGAAAGGGCACCATGGCTTTTATTTAGTTCATAGCCCCTGATACTTCAGTCTAATTTGATTTAAAAAGAAGGGTGTTTAAAAATATATTTCCTGGGACTTCCCTGGCCGTCCAGTGGTTAAGACTTTAAGCTCCCAGTGCAGGGGGCATGGGTTGGATCCCTAGTCAGGGAACTAAGATCCTGCATGGCACTCAGCCAAAAAAAAAAAGAAAAAAATGTTTCCTTTGTTGTTATTCTCGGCTTACAGGTGGGGGGTAGGAAAGAAGACATACGAATGTGTCCAAGAGGACACTTAGGAAGCAGATGTCCTATGAGAAATGAGGTAACAGACAGTCAGGGAAAGGCTCAGATGGGGTTGAATAGTAAAAGCACAGTTGACGTTATCATGATTTCTGGTCAAATATACACACGATGCTCCCTTAAATGGCGAATGTAAATGAGCCTGTCTAGTCCTTTCTGAGGGACTCGAAGTTCAATCCCTGTGTTCTGTGAAAGATCAACCATTTGGGTGTTTGAGATTCTGCATCTGAAGAGCAAGACCTCAAAGGGACACAAGGAGACACACCATCGTTCTTCCCCTCTCCCCCCTTCATTCTCCCTGCCTTCATTCTTCCCTCCCTGCCCCCTTCATTTCCCCCTCCCCCTTCATCCTCCCCCTCTCCCCTCTCCCTTTCAGTTTCCCCCTCCCCACTTCATTCCCCTCCTTCTGGCTTCATTCTTTCCTCATTGGACCAAGCACAGTTTGACCCTACTCTGGCCAGGGCTAATTTGCACAGCCTAATTCTGTTGTCTGACAAGCCTAGAGCCCTGGGTACCTGACGGGAATATGGGCTGCTCTGGTCATAGGTACACACACATTGAGTTCAATCTTTTCCCTTTCAGAAAAAATGAAAACCGTACTTAGCCGTGTGAATGTGGTGAGGTTTTTGGCAACCAACCTTCAATTTTCACCTCAGCTTCAGGGTCCTCACTCATTTCTGAAGGGGCAAGCTGAGTAGAATCTTGAAAAAAAAAATTTCTAAAATGACATTCATTGTTTATGTATTCTCATGTTCCAACATTTTACTGCTCCTATACCCAAAAAGTCGCTTATCCTGGCATTTTAAGTACATTTTATATTTACTAAACATAGAGGTATAAACATAAAGGTAATTTTAATTTTAAAAAGGATAATAGGGTAATAAAGGATGATCTTATAAGGGATAAGAGGAGATAAGAAACTTTCAGATATTATCAAATAATATGAAGTTACTCGCAGTAATGGACACAGAATATCCTTCTATTTGAGCTAATGGAATACGTGTGGTCCTAGTGTTTTGTGGTTGTCATCGGGAATTACTAGGATTCAAAAAAAGCCGTTTGCTCCTTTCTTATCCTGCCAGCAGCCCCCAGGTGATTCGTGGTCTATTATTACATGGACGCATGTAATGTACACGACATATACATGCTCAGTGAAATACGCCAATCACAAAAAAGCAAATATCATATGATTTCACTTATATGAGGCACCTAAAGTACCTAATTGAGTTTTCTGGTGGATAAGAATTATGACATATACATTAAGCTCTACATATAGACAAAAGCCTGGCTAGCTTACCTCGCCTAACTCTAGCTCATTTTAGAAAGATTTGTCAAATCTTACATTAATTGTTAGCAAAAGACTAGAATGCAAACTGTTTTGATATTGTACCATCGTTACGTAGGATGTAACCTTTGGGGAAAAACAGGTGAAGGTACATTGGACTGCTCTGTACTATTCTTGCAGCTTCTTGTGAATCTATAATTATTTTAAAATAAAAAGGTTTTAGGGAGTTCCCTGGTGGCCTCGTGGTTAGAATTCTGGGCTCTCACTGCCGTGGCCTAGGGTATAATCTCTGGTTGGGGAACTGAGATCCCACAGGCTGTGCAGTGTGGCCCCATCCTGCCCCAGATAAATAAATAAATAATAAAAAAAATAAAAGGACTGACATAAAATAAAAAGATTTTAAAAATCAAACAAATTCAGCTCTATTGTAAATGGGCTTCCCACAATATCGTGATAATAAAAAAATCTGTTTAGATATGAACTATTTTGAGGGCCAACATCCCATGAAAACTTTCTGATTCTAATTCAGCACCCGTTCTACAACTGACCCCTACACAGGTCTTCTTCTTTCCAAATATTGTACTATCCATCCATTTAAAAAATGACCAAACAATACCTTAACAGGCTTTTACAAAGGAGAGTAAAATGACACAAGGGAGGAACAGATTTAAGCTCAATTCAAAATAATTGTCCTCCTTTACATCCAGAGAAGGTCAGAGATTGAGTTAAAGAAAAGAAACAAAAAATTAATGGAAGAATCCTGACACACGCTACAACATGGATGAACCCTGAGAACATTATGCTCAGTGAAATAAGCTAGTCACAAAAAGACAAATACCGTGTGATTCCACTTATATGAGATACCAAAGTAGTCAAATTCATAGAGACAGAAAGTAGAATAGGGGTTGCCAGAAGGGAAAATGGGGGAGTTGTTGTTTAATACGGATAGATTTGCAAGATGAAAAGTTCTGGAGATCCTCTTCCCAACAATGTAAATATACTCAGCACTACCAAACTGCACACCTCACAGTGGTTAAGATGGTAAATTGTATGTTATGTGTTTTTTCTTAACCACAATGAAAAGACATAATTTAGAAAAATAAACAGGAGTTAAATAATGACAGAGTCCGCTTGTCTTCTTGGTTCTAAAGCAATGAAGTTCAAAATGAATTTGAATTTAATTTTATGAGTGAATGAACAATTCTAAGACTGGACTCTATCATAGTATGTTCTCTGGCAAAATCTACCAAAATTCTTCTAGGTCAGAGACTAGAAGAACCATCCTCTACAACAAAAAACTCCAGACTCCCTAAATCAGGAAAGCTATCGAAAATGACTGCAACTCGGCTCCTTGGAGAAAGTTTTTGACGTAAAAGAAAAACACAAATCATTTTGGTACTGAGACAGATGTACAACCCCTAAAAACAAGATCAATTTGCCTGTAAACTGACAAAGAGATTCATACTTCTATGTTTGCAGAGGAAATCTCCTTTATTAATTTTATCTTACATAAACCGCTTTAAGAGTTTAGGCCTTAAATATGATGCTCAGGGTTTATATACGAATGGAGGGAAGTATATATCAAGTTTTACCTCTAATTCAAGAATTTCCTAAAATTCTATTCAACTTTGCTCAAAAGATTTTGGCAAGCCCATCAAGAAGACAAAATGAAATAAAGTAACAAAGGGCATCAGTGCAAAGTTTTCTTACCACTTAACCTCTATATCCAGGCACTTAAAGTAGAATCATTTACAAATCAAAAGAGTAAGAGAATGACAGAGTTCTTAGTATGACATCTTAGGATGAGGACTCGGCCAGTTCTCTAAGGAGGCATGTTGTCTTCTGTATTTTCAAATGTGTGTTTAAAAGAGAATATTCTTGGCTTCCCTGGTGGTGCAGTGGTTGAGAGTCCGCCTGCCGATGCAGGGGACACGGGTTCGTGCCCCGGTCCGGGAAGATCCCACATGCCGCGGAGCGGCAGGGCCCGTGAGCCATGGCCCCTGAGCCTGCACATCCGGAGCCTGTGCTCCGCGATGGGAGACGCCACAACAGGGAGAGGCCCTCGTACCGCAAAAAAAAAAAAGGGTATATTTTCTTCAAAATACTGTAAACTAAAAAAAAAAGAAAAAGAGAGAGAGAGAGAGAAAATGCCTTATTTTTCTAACCTTCCACTGGTAATTCCATTTCTATTACTTCAGTGCTGGCAGAAGAATGATGGCTCTCTGAAAGGAAAGCAAACAAGGCAGAAATACAAATTTTAAAAAAGAAATCATTTAAGAACAATGCAAATAATTCAAGACCCCCACAGGAATATACATGCAATACTTCGACTCCCTAATATCAAATTCACACAAACGATCCTTTCTTTACGTTTTTTCCTTTGTTTTTATCTGTGCTTTGGAAAAATTTCAAATACAGAAAAGCAGAGAGATGGCATCATGAAGCCATGTGCCCGTCCCTCAGCGCCAACAGTCATCAACTCATGTCATCCCGTTTTATCCGTGCCCACCCCACCCAGCACTGGTAGTTTAAAGTAAATCCCAGAATTCAGTGTGCAAATATTGCATAACTACAGGCAGGTACATGAGTAAAGTCTCTTCCTTTAACATTACCATGATATTGCCTCCAAATGAACAATTATTCTTTATCATCATCTCATAGCTAGGCATTGTTTAAATTTCCTCAATTGTCTCACGTCTTCTCTTAAAAAAAACCTTTATATTTGGAAATAGTTTTAAACACAGAAAAGTTGCAAAAATAAAATAGTACAAAGAAGATCCATCTACCCTTTACTCAGATAACATGATGTTAACAATTTACCCTGTTGGTAATCTTTGTCTCTCCCTCCCCCCACCCCCAATCTATATAGAGAGATAGATGTATATACACACACTTTTTTTTCCTGAAGCATTTGAGGGAAAGGTACATACATTATGGACCTTTATCTCTGAACACTTCCGTGACTATTTCCTTAGAATAGGGATATTCTCTTATACGATCACAGTATAAACTCACAGAATTTAACATGTGAGACAATTTTATTTATTCTACCGTTCGTATTCCAACTTTGTCAGTTGCCCAAATGTTCATTATAGCCTTTCCCTTTCAGTAGGGGATCCGGTTTGGGGGGTCAGGTCTTGTTTTTAGCTGCCACGTCTCCTTTAACCTTGAATGGTTCCATAGTCTGTCTTCGTTTTTTATGGCATTCCATTTCTGAAGATTTGAGCCCCCTCCTTCCCTCTCTTCCCCTCCCCACTAGAATGTTCCCCATTTTGAGTCTGTCTGATGTTTCCTCATGGTTAAGACTCAGGTCTTGCATTCTCAGCCAGAACACTGCCTAGATGGCGGTGTGTCCTTCTCAGCATATCACATATACAGGCACCTGGAATTGGGGGCTGGCAGGATTTTGAGTTGACAGGTCTCATCCTGCTGTGAAAAAATAAACCACCTGGGGGTCAATATACAGAGGCCATCTTTGGTTCATTTCTAGAAAACCATGTAACTTCAACGTTGCATCATCAAACTGGTCAGGCTGTGTAACACACAGTCACGAATGTGACAAAGATCAAATCACTTACATATAAAAGCAAGTCACGCACCCATGTTGAATCTCATTACGTGACTTTACCAAACAGAAGTTGAGGTAAGTAATTTAAAAAAACAAAAACAAATTGCCTCGTGTTAGGTTCAAGCCTAAGCAAGATCAAGATTACATTCTTTTCCTCCTCTTCCATTCCAAAAAGTAAAAAAAAAAAAAAAACAACCCAGAACTAAATATCACACACAGTAAATTCAGTGTAGATTAACTTAAAATACTGACATGCTCTGGAAAGTGGGCATGGAGGAACAGACCTTTGAAATACTTCAAATGAGGAATTTTTTGAAGGACCTGCTTTGGAGCACAAATTTCATCATCAAATTTGGGTTAGAGATGTGGATTCATAGCCATTCCATAAAGAAAAAAGGCAAAATTACAAATAAGTGAATGGCAATGAAATTTTGACACCTGCTACAACATGGAAGAAACTTGAAGACATTACACCTAGTGAAATAATCCAGTCACAAAAGGATAAATACTGTCTGATTCCAGTTATATGAGGCGCCAAGAATAGGCAAATTCATAGAGACAGAAAGTAGAATGGGGGTTGCCAGGGGCTGAGAGGAAGGGAATGGGGAGTTAGTGCTTAGTGGGGACAGTTTCTGTTTGTGATGATGAAAAAGTTCTGGAGATGGATGGTAGTAATGGTCACACAACACTGTGAATGTACTTGTCACTGACCTGTGCATTTAAAAATGGTTAAAATTGCAAATTTTATGTTACGTATATTCTACCACAATAATAATTTTTTTTTTTTTGGCTGCACTGTATGGATTGCGGGATCTTCATTCCCTGACCAGGGATCGAATGCGGGGCCTCGCCAGTGAGAGCACTGAGTCCCAACCACTGGACTGCCAGGGAATTTCCACAATAATAATTTTTTAAAAAGGAAATGAGTGCTAAGATGACCAGTATCGATTTACCAAGAGGACAAGGGCTCTCAGGTAAATTTATTCACAGTTATAGCAAAAATATTCCTGGTCTAGAGTTTTGACAACAAAAGTCCTATGTACTGAATGGGTATCAGATGTGTTCAAAATGATCTGATAATCAGTGCTTTCAAGTCAAAAGTCAAAATTAATCACAAATTTTATTTTATACAGATTATACAGGTTAATCTTACATTGAATTTGCTTTCTAAAAACTGAGATATAATTCACATACCATAAAATTCATCCTTTTAAAGTGTACAGTTCAGTGGTTTTCCATATATTCACAAGGTAGTACAACCATCATCACTATTTCTAGAACATTTTCATCACCCCCAAAAGAATCCCTGTGCCCACTGGGGGTCACTCCTCACTCCCTGCTCTCTTCAGACTCTGTAACCACTAATGGACTTTCTGTCTCTATGGAGTTGTCTGTTCTGGACATTTCATATAAATGGAATCATACAATATGTACCTTTTTGTGTCTGGCTTCTTTCACTCAGCATTGTGAGTTCAAGGTTCATTCATGTTACAGTGTGTATCGGCACTTCATTATTTTTAATGGCTGAATAATATTCCGTTGTATGGATAGATCACATTTTGTTTCTCCATTCATCAGCTTATGAATACTTGGGTTGTGTCCACCTTTTGGCTATTAAGAATAATGTATACGTTTTTGTGTGGACATACATTTTCTCTTGGGAAAATGTAGAATTGGATATGTATCTAAGAGTGGAACTGCTGGATCATATGCTCCTCATTTAGCATTTTGAGGAACTGCCAAACTATTCTGAAAAGGAGCGGTACCATTTTACATTCCCAGCAGCAATGTACGAGGATTCTAATTTCTCCACATCTTCACCAACACTTGCTACTGTCTGCTTTTTTCTATTATTTATTTTTTATTTTTTTTGAGGTACGCGGGCCTCTCACTGCTGTGGCCTCTCCCGTTGTGGAGCACAGGCTCCGGACACGCAGGCTCAGCGGCCATGGCTCATGGGCCCAGCCACTGCGCGGCATGTGGGATCTTCCCAGACCGGGGCACGAACCCGTGTCCCCTGCATCGGCAGGCGGACTCTCAACCACTGCGCCACCAGGGAAGCCCCACCCATTTTTAAATTGGGTAGTTTGTATTTTTATTATTGTGTTGAAAGAGTTCTTATATATTCTGGATGCTAGGTCTTGATCAGATATATAATTTGCACATGTTTTCTCTCATTCTGTTTGTGGTCTTTTCACTTTTTGGATAATATTCCTTGAAGCACAAGAGTTTTTAATTTTGCCGAAGTTCAATTTGTCTTTTTTCTTCTTCGGCTGCTCGTGCTTTAGATTTTATATCTAAGAGACCATTGTTTAATCCAAGGTCACAAAGATATATGTCTGTGTTTCTCCTAAGAGCACTGTAGTTTTAGCTCTTATACTTAGGTCTTTGATCCATTTTGAGTTTTTTAAAAAAAATTTATTCATTATTTTTGGCTGCATTGGGTCCTCGTTGCTGCACGCAGGGCTTTCTCTAGTTGCGGCGAGCGGGGGCTACTCTTTGTTGCAGTGTGTGTGCTTCTCATTGCAGTGGCCTCTCTTGTTGCAGAGCACAGGCTCTAGGCGCACGTGCCTCAGTAGTTGTGGCTCCTGGGCTTCAGTAGTTGTCGCTTGTGGGCTCTAGAGCACCGGCTCAGTAGTTTTGGCACACGGGCTTAGTTGCTCCACAGCATGTGGGATCTTCCTGGACCAGGGCTCGAACCCATGTCCCCCGCACTGGCAGGTGGATTCCCAACCACTGAGCCACCAGGGAAGTCCCGAGTTCATCTTTTTTAATATTGTGTGAGGTAGAGGTCCAAATTGATCTTTTTGCAGGTGGATATCCAGTTGTTCCAGCACCATTTTTTGAAAAGACTATTCTTTCCCCATTGACTAGTCTTGGGAACCCTTGTTGAAAATCAACTGAATATAAAAATATTGGTTTATTTCTGTACTCTCCATTCTATTCCATTGATTCATATGTCTATCCTCATGCCAGTACCACGGAATACTGATAATGACAGCTTTGTAGTAGGTTTTGAAATCAGGAAGTACACATCTTCCCACTTCGTTCTTTTTCAAGATTGTTTTGGCTCTTCAGGGTCCCTTGCATTTCCATATAAATCGTAGGAAAGTTTTCCAGTCCATGAACACAGGATGTCTTTACATTTATTTAGTTCCTTAATTTCTTTCAACACTGTTTTGTAGTTTTTTGTTTTTGTTTGTTTTATAAAATAGTGCAGCCACTTTTTAAAAAATATTTATTTATTTGGCTGTGCTGGGTCTTCGTTGCGGCATGGGGGATCTTTAGTTGTGGCATGCGAACTCTTAGTTGCAGCATGTGGGATCTAGTTCCCTGACCAGGGATCGAACCCGGGCCCCCTGGATTGGGAGCATGGAGTCTTAGCCACTGGACCACCAGGGAAGTCCCTGTTGTGTAGTTTTCAGTGTCCAAGTCTTACACTTCTTTGGTTAAATTTATTCCTAAGTATTGCATTCTTTTTGATGCTGTGGTACATGGACTTTTTTTAAATTTCAGTTTTTGATTGTTCATTGCTAACATATGGATATACAATTGATTTTTGTATATTGACCTTGTATCCTGCAACCTTGCTAAACTTATTTATTAGCTCTAATTTGTGTGTGTATTCCTTGGGATTTTCTATATACAAGATCATGTCATCTGCAAACAAATAGTTTTACATCTTCCTTTCCAATCTGGATGCCTTTTTTATCTTACCTAATTGCCCTGCCTAGGACCTCCAGTACAATGTTGAAAAGAAGTGGCAAGTGTCTTGTTCCTGGTCTTAGGGGGAAAGCCTTCCGTCTTATTAAGTATGACATGAGCTATGTAGGTTTTCTGTAGATGCTCTTAATCATGTTGAGAAAGTTCCCTTGGATTCCTAATTTGAGTGGTTTTTTTTCTTTTTTTTAATCACAAAAGGGTATTAGATTTTGTCAAATGCCTTTTTCCTACATCTATGGGCATAATCATGTGGGTCTTGTCCTTTATTCATGATGTTGTTATTCCACTGATAGATTTTCATATGTTGAACTAATCTTTCCTTCCTAGGATCAATCCCACTTGATCATTGTATGGTCAGGCCATTCAAGATGGCTGTTCTTCTGTTCTCTGTACATGCCCAGCTCGACAAGTCCCTGCTTCACTCACATGACTACCCAGTCCTCCTAATTATAGGGCTTAGTTAGTAACTGGTACATGCTTGCCCCCTGCCCCAGCGCTGTGTTTCTGGTAACTGATGAGCCAACCTGATGTCGATTCCCTCTATAAATGGTAGCCTCCTTCTCCTCCAAGCAGTGAAGGTTGCAGTTACGTGCTGCCTACTGTTTGTCGCACGGTGGGGTGTTGCTCCAGGACTTTGCTTCAGATGTGTAAGATTCCCCCTGTCCAATAAGCCGCCGATGTCTCCGTCTCTGGGCTTTCTTTGGTCTCGAGGCTGGGCAACTACAAGGCTTGCAGGCCTGTGGGGTGCAGCCCAACAGTCATGATGTATAATCCTTTTTATATGTTCCTGGATTCATTTGCTAGCATTTTATTGAAAAAGTTTGTACGTCTATGAATAAGCGATATTTTTCTGTAGTTTTCTTGTGTTGTTTTTGTCTGGTTTTGGTATCAGGATGATACTGGCCTAACAGAATGAGTTTAGAAGTGTTCCCTCCTCTATCTTTTGTAAGAGTTTGTGAGGGACTTTATTATTTTTTTATTTGTTATTTTTTTAAATTTATTTATTTTATTTCTGGCTGCGTTGGGTCTTCATTGCTGCGTGAGGGCTTTCTCTAGATGCGGTGAGCAGGGTCTACTCTTCGTTGCGGTGCCCGGGCTTCTCATTGGGGTGGCTTCTCTTGTTGCAGAGCATGGGCTCTAGGCATGCAGGCTTCAGTAGTTGTGGTGCACAGGCTTATTTACTCCGTGGTGTGTGGGATTTTCCCAGACCAGGGATCGAACCCATGTCCCCTGCCTTAGCAGGCAGAATCTTAACCACTGCGCCACCAGGGAAGTCCCGTGAAGGGCTTTAAACACTTGGTAGAATTCACCAGTGAAGGCACCTGGTCCTGTGCTTTTGTTTGTAGGAAGTTTTTGAATTACTAATTCAAATTCTTGTTATATGACTCTTCAAATTTTGTGTTTTATCCTTAGTCAGTTTCAGTAGTTTGTCCATTTCATCTAGGTTACTCGATTTGTTTGCGATAGGCTGATTGCCCCCCACAAAGATATCCAAAAACCTGTGAACAGATGATGTTACATGGCAAGGGGCAATTAGGTTGCAGATGGGATTAAGTGTGCTCATCGCTAACCTTCAGAAAAGATTATTTTGCATTATCCAGCTGGGCTCCATGTAATCGATGTACGGGGTATTTAAATGTGAAAAAGGGAAGCAGAAGAGTCAGTGTCGGAGTGGTGTGGTTCGAGAAAGACTGTTAATTCCTTGATCTTGGGCTTTTGTATCCATGTTCCCTTGGGCCTGGAAGGCTTCTCTCCCATATCATGCAGTGTCAGCCAGGAAGAAAACAGGATGGTACTGATGCTCTGACATCCATCAGCATCAAGGAAGCCTGGGTGCACTATGTCTCAGCACAGCTTGTACTGTGCATTCTTCATTTCTGGGGACCCTGGAGATGGGGTCCCTGCACATGCAGAAGACCTATGGGACTTCCGTGGGCCAAGATGTTATGTGTGCACGTGTAAATGTGTGTCGGAGGTCTTCCGAGAGATCTGTGTTGCAGATGGATCGTGAGGTCCTGGTGGGGGCAGCTTCCGAGCACTGGTGGGGCCGTGTTCACTGGGGCTCCCCGAGGGCCAATCGCCGTTCTGAGCAAGTCACACTGATTGTCTTTTTGGATTTAAAAATATCTCCCTTACTTAAAGGATATAGACATCAATACTTCAGCATGTGAGTATTTAACTAAATGGTTACAAAAACATTCAGTGCTATGGAATAGAGTCCACGATGTTAGGCAGTTTGGAACTTTCTGGCATCAAGAAGGAAGCTGTTCTACAAAGATCTCTTGAAGAGTTCTGTCATTTCCAAAAGCAGGAGAAAGATTATAAATTCACACATTTAACGTAAATGTTTTTCTTCAAATAATGTACTTCTTTCTGAAAAATTAAAATAGATCAATTGCAGGTACATCTAACTTGTTCATTCCACTGATGCCTTTTGGAGCAGAATCTGTAAGTATCCTGTCCCTGACTGTACACGATTTCATCAACACCAAGGTCATTTAAGTTCAAAAATATATTCTTGGGAGCCAAGACGTAATTTAATTAAAAGTAGTTTGTTCAAAACAACAGTAATTTAGAAACAAATGTTACACTGATTCTTCATAAGGGTCACATTCAACTCAGCAAGCACATTCGAGTGCTCAGTATGTAGAAAGCCCAGGCTTGGGGCTCCAGGGCAGGAGTAAGATGCTGTGTTTCCTGCCACTAGCTGAGGGAGTCCTGGCAAAAGCATAGATAGAACACAGCAGGTCACATTAAACGCTGGAAGCTCCCTGCAGGAGTTGAGATTCTGACTGTGCCCAGAAAGAAGCAGGGGAACTCCTCAGTGGTCTGCAGGGTGGGAAGGGAGTCACAGGGAGGGATCAGCTTATATAAAAGCCCTGTGGAAGGTGGATTCAGGGCACATTCAAGGAATCACAGACCGAGCTGTGTGTCTGAAGAGCCCAGGGAGGGTGATGGAGGCAGATGAAATAGGAGGGGAGACCAGAAAGAGCAGTAGGAACGTGGAAGGAAACTGGGAGTTTACGGGTGGTAAGGAGTCACAGACAGTGAGAGTGGGGGAGAGAGGTGGACAGATCCCAGTTTTCAGAGAACAAGTGATTGGGGTGGGGTGTGTGGGATGGATTGAAAAGAGATCCTCTGCTCAGAGGGAAGGAGACTGGTCACAAGGGACAGGCCAGGCGGGGGCGGACGAGGGTGGGTGGGGTTGGCCCAGGACAGAGCAATTACCACAGAACTTCCACTGGTCTCTGCCTTTAGATATTTTGAAACAATTTTTTTAGCAAAAGTTTCAGAGCTACATAATGCTGCAGAAAATTTTTCAAAGTTAAGATTTTGTAGGAAACATTTCTGATCCGATAATGTTTGAGGATGTGACTGCAAATCGTCCTGCACTCTGTCTCCATTCCCAGTGGAGCTGGAAGATGGAGAAAGAATCTGAACACCGTACGGCAGTCACAGCGACATGAGTACCATATCGTCAAACTGACATCACGCTGGGGTCCAGCGGGATTTTGGTCTTTGGGTAGAGAACCAAGCCACCTAACTGCACACAGCACCCACCTGCGCCATGTTTGGAAAGTTTGTGTATTTGGTAACAATTGTCTTCTCCCCGTTGAACTTGTATGCTGTCAATGAAACAACTATTAAGAAAAGGCACTTGATGGACTTCCCTGGTGGCTCAGTGGTTATGAATCCACCTCCAATGCAGGGAACATGGGTTTGAGCCCTGGTCCGGGAAGATCCCACATGCCGCGGAGCAACTAAGCCCATGTGCCACAACTACTGAGCCTGTGCTCTAGAGCCCGTGAGCAACAACTACTGAGCCTACGTGCTACCACTACTGAAGTGTGTGTGCCTAGAGCTCGTGCTTCACAACAAGAGAAGCCACTGAAATGAGAAGCCCACGCACGGCAATGAAGAGTAGCCCCCACTCGCTGCAACTAGAGAAAGCCCGCGCACAGCAACAAAGACCCAACGCAGCCAAAAATAAATTAATTAATTAATTAAAAAAAAAAAAAAAGAAAAGGCACTTGAATTTCTTAACTCATCTCCATCTCTTTTAACACTTACTATTTTCTCAGCAACCTAGGGGACACACTGGACAGAAGAGAATTAAGGCGGGAATATTTTAGATCACACAAAATAATATTTAACAGACAAACTCTAGTAAAATGCAGCCTGAAATGTCTTTACATTCACGGATGCCCAGAATCATGTGGATTCAGGCTAAGTATCAATACAATCTATTTTATGACTGTAAAGTTGTTTCCCCTAATGGCCGTGTGTTAGATCCTGGGTAAGTGTACATGGATCTTTACGACTCTTTTCCTGTTTTCCAGATGGGTGCTAATTAAAATTTTCCATCACAGATAACTTCTAAAGAAGAAAATTATTAGAAAATGACATTACCTTGCATACTATATTCATAGTAATTAGGATCTTCTGATTCTTTCTTGACTGACATAACTGTTGCTTTCGGTGAAATGCCTTTGAACGCAATGGAAATTATAAAATTATGTGTTAGGCTAGACTTACGAACAGAGATATGACTGGTTAGTATATCTTCCAGGTTCTGTTTGGATCAACACAGCAACACGGCAATCAGCAAAAGAACTTGTAGCTCATGCAGTAGGAACAAATGGTTTATCCATATAAAAATATAAATCTAAAATAATAATAAAACAACATAAAGCAAAGAAGGAAGGGAGGAGAGATGGATGGAAGGAAGGAGGAAAAGAAGGGAAGGAGAAAGAGGTCTAATTCCCAGTTTGGGGAAAGTTTCCCTTTCAAGATGGATGAATATGTACATGCATTTATATGCAATATAAGTATTGCAAATATTCTGCTGTAATGGGGCCCAAATTGGCACAGATAATCTTAATTTACTTACTACAACAAAATGAATTTCAAAACCTGGGGAAACTACATTGGTTAAACCAAAAGGCTTTATCAGGGAAAGGTGTAGTGGATGGCAAAAATTAGCCACAGATGTCTTCCATCCCAGTATATACACCTGTTTGCAATGTAACTTTCCCACTCCTATTTTCTAGAAGTGGAAAACTACTCCACCTTTTGAATCTGGGCCTGGCCATGTGACTTGCTTTGGCCAGTGGGATGCAGGGAGAGGCTTGAAAAGTGCTCGTGCATCAGCGTCTGCTGTTTTTGGAGCAGAGTTGCCACGTGAATGAGCCTGGAGGATGTGAGACCAAGAGGAGAGAGGTAGGCCCAACTCTGGCAGCTGAGGCCTCGGCCCCAGGAGTGAGGCCAGCCCAGACCAGAAGGACGGCCTGGCCAACACACAGAATTGTAAGAAAGACTAAATTATTGTTTGAAGCCACTAAGTTCTGGGGTGCTCTTTTATACCGCAATAGATAACTGATACTGAAGTATACATATAATTTAACTGTGAAAGTTAATAGAAGCAAAACCAAAAATTGTGACAAGCTTGGGATTTCACTGTTCAGTGTTAATTTACAAGTTGGGGGAGGAGGTCTTCTGAAAACCTTTAACAGCTCTGTTGGCATAGGGATAGTAAGATTGGGTATTAACGAATGTGACTGTCAAAAAGAAAAATTTGTTAAACTGAGGAACAGAATGGACACGGCCGATGGCCATATCAGTGAAATGGATACTGCCCTTGAGCAAGTTGAGGAAATTGCTCAGAAGTGGGACAGAAAGGTAGTCTGATGGAAAGATTAAAGGAGAGCTCACAAATGGAGGTCTACTTGTGCATAAAAAAGAAAAAAGCTTTTTACATGTTTGTAAGTGATCTGAAAGAATCTGAAAGAGCTGTTGCCCTTAAAACGGGGATGGAATTTGAGGTGCAGTGAGATTTAAGAGAGATGGAGTTTTGAGAGGGGAGGAGTGAAGAGGAATTTTACTTATTACTACTTATTACACTACTTATTACCACTTCCTACACTGAATTTTTATTTAAAACATGTATAACTTTTGTAATTTATAGTAAAACTTTAAAGTACAAAGATTTGATAAATATGTGACAGCTGGGCTGTCAAAGAAAAATTTCTTTTCAATGCAGGCAACTGAAAGCAGGTTTGCCGGTGCAGAATGCAGAATCGCTTCAGCCTTTCCTCAAAATATGAGGGGGGAGGGGGAAATTCAGAAGTTAAAACCATTTAAACGTTCTGTGCAGCAAGTGCTACACAAACATCACAGGAAATAAGGCCAATGGATGGTCAGCTCACAGAAGCCTGCAGGCACCTGGAAGCAATTCATATCACGAAATCCATGGTAGAAAGTCACATTATTAAGGATTGTTTATAGGGAATCACATCTCCAAAGAGAGGCCTCAACAAAAGAGGCCTATTTTAAGGCTGGCGGGAAACGCTCATCCACCCAATAGCTGGTGAGGGCGGAAGGGAAGGCGGTAGGGCCGCGGATCCTTGAAAGGGCCCCCCGGGGAGAGCCGACAACCCCTCACTCCCACCCCATTTGTTTTCTGGGTTTCTGAGAGGAGACTGTGGCTTGGGGGTTTTAAATTCTCTGTTACCAACAGAGATGCAGGCAGAATGTATCTGAGCTTGGAAACGCATCCAAGGCTAAGATTAAAGGGCAAGCGTGTAAGGCGTGTCACGTGTAAGTGGGATGAAGACGCCACAGCTGAATTCTGTTGGCTGAAATATCTGGCTCCTTTTTGTTGACTTGTGTTGGTTTGACCTAGAATACCTACAATGGACAGGCGCTCTTTTCAGGCTGACGTTGAAGGTGCAGCTTCTACCAAGCACATGTTATCTGTGGATAGGAGTGACCCTGGGGTATGACAAGGGTGGATTCAGGCTACTCCTGCCCCAAGGGACTGGGGAGGCAGCTGAGCATAAACCACATCTCCTACCTTCAGCAAAGCTCGTGCTCTGACCTCCATCTCACTGGAGGTAACATCTCTCTTCGCCTCCTCTCTCCATCTTTTCTTAATATTGAATATTTTTCTTTTACATTATCTCAGATTTAACTTTAACTTTACATTTGGAACTGTTTATTTCTTATTTCTATGTTGCTTTTCTAAACATTATTAACTTCTCGTTTTACCCCGTACAGTCAGCTTGTGTTCATCTTTATCTTTTTGAGGTTTGAGTTTCAGTTTTATGTACTTATTTTAGGTTTTCTAACGTTTCTACTTCTAACGCTTTCAATACTTTTCCATCCCTTGATTAAACATTCGAGTTAAAAAATTTTTTTTCTATTTTTAACCTTTAACATTTTTCCTTCTAATGCCTTTTTTTTTTTTTTTTGAGGCGTGGAAGAGCAGGGATGGGGGTTAACTACTCTCACCATCAAAGAGGGATTTTTTTCCCAATATACATTGTCATAGTAATGTACGTCTATTGTAGAACATTTAGAAATGACAGAGTGTAAGAAAGCAATAAAATAAGCTATGTCCAAAAATAAAAACACTGCTTTATTCATAAATCAAATTCATATTCCAAATGTGTATTCAAGACTTTTTACTCATTTAGCAGTCAAGTTCTAATTTCCATATAATTAAAATAATAACTTTGTCTACAAATATATCTACTTAATAACATCTTAGTACCTAATATTTATTGAATTAGAAGGCTTTTTTTCCCTAGATATTTGAGTAAAATATGATTATTCTGCAAATAAGGCCCCCGTTGAGGTTCATTAGTGACCTATCCCCATTATCTTGTTGATTCTTTGGGATTTTCTACCCAAATATGGACCAATATATCATCTGCAAATTAAAGACAGTTTTCATTTGTCATTCCCAATCCATATACCTTATATTTCCTTTTCTTGTCTTACTGCATTAGCTAGGACTTTCGGTATGATGTTGAAAGGGAGTGATGAGAGGGGACATCCTTGCTTTGCTCCTGATCTTAGTGGGAAAGATTCTAGTTTCTCAGCATGAAATATGATGTTAGCTGTAGGTTTTTTGTAAATTTTTTTTTATCAAGTTGAGGAAATTCCCCTCTATTCCTGGTTTACTGAAAGTCCCATTTTTAAGTAAAACAAAAGAAAGGAGTCAAATAATGACCTGCTGAACACCTGATTCTACAAGCATCAGTGTACATACCAGAATCTTCCATGGGTTCAGTCTTCACACTGATGGGGGCACAGCTAAAAGGAGAAGGGAATGCTGGTCAAGATGGGCAGGGTGAGAACTGCCCAAAGGCATCTGGACACACTGAATCTAATCCCCAGCTCTCCATACCATCATAGGTTCCCCTCCCCCCATCAAACTGAATGCAAAGCTACCTCAACTTTAATGTTGTAACAAATTATTAAGAAAGTTAAAGGTGTCAATGAATATATTCTCATAATCCCAAACATCCTTTTGAATAAAGAATATGTAACAAAATAAGACATTCCATAGCCTAAAAACTAATACATTTGGGTTAGATGGGGACTTAATTTTTTATTTATCCCTTACCTTTCACTTGGTGATGTCACTGATCTCTCAGCATCTGTTACCAACCCAGGCCCACCTGTGCATGAGTAAAAAGACACACGCTAGCCTCTGTCTGCACCTTGAAATATGACAACATTCAAAGGCATATAAAGGGAAAGCGAATACAAAGAGAACAGAATTCCTGGCTCTAGGTCATCATGGAATAGCAGCGGAGGAGAGACCAACTCAAAGCAGCCCCCAGGGCCTGGGCCATCTGTGTGGGCACAATGGGGGCCAAGGAGCAGACCTGTGCCGGAGCGACCTCTGGCAGGTTACTAAGCCTCCTCGTGCCTCAGTTTCCTCATCTCAAAATGGTGGTTGGGTGAGGATTAATTAATACATGCAAAGTGCTTAGAACAGTGCCTATCACAAAATAAGTGTCAGCAGCAGCTATTACCGTTATTTCTATAATGACAATACAAGCCACCTGGGACAACAGTTACCTGGTCACCTGCCACCCCTCACCCTCCAGTCCCTCCTTTAATGTGAACTGGGGGACCCCAGGAACTCACAACTGCTCCAGAAATACCTGCTCTGTGAGTAGCCCATGCACAGGAGTGTCTCATGGCCCTCTATACCCCAAGGCAGTCCATGTGGACAGACCCTCCACCCACCCCTGCCACCTGGCTTCTGTACCTATATAGGCTCAGCATAACACCCTCTTTAGACCTGGTCTTTCATGAACAGCTATGGCCCAAGGTTTCCAACTATGATCCAGAATAATAATCTGAGAAAATAAGGAAGTGGGCATAGATGGATCTCTAAATGTTCCTGGTAAACTTACTATTTTCTTTTTTGGTCTCTTCATCAGTTAAGGAGCTTATGAGGGGTCCTGGTTTCCCAAACATGGTCTCAAACACCCTGCACATAACTTTCTGCCTGACCACATGGAATGGGCATCCTGGGGGAACCAAGCTATTGAGATCCTGCTTATCTTGGGGGCCAGCTCCTCCAGGAAGCTCTTCTGACCACACAATTCTAACCCCTTCTGGGGGCTCTCAGGGATTTCCTCCACGGGTCACCCCTGGTTCTCTGAACAGTCTCTTTCCTCCTCACAGATCATGTATCTCAGAAGCACGGGAACGGTCACACAGCCCAGACCACTCCTGAATCCCACAACGCCTGGCCTGTGGTTGGTGCTCAGAGACCAGGAAGTCACTCCAGCATCCTCACACTCCTGTGCACATGGACAAGGTAGATCTCCTGCCCTCCGAGGGCTGGACGCAGACGCTCGCCGGCATGCGAGCTGACGGGAGGGTGGCGTCCCGGCTCTTAGGCTGGGTATGTGTGTTTCCCTGAGCTGTAGTCCCTGCAAACATCCCCACCACCCCTGGCCCCGGGATCAGAGGTGGCCTCCTCAAGGCAGGAAAGACAAAGCATAAACAAGCTTTAGAATGTGCCAAACTTGCATTTTAATTAAGAAGCAGAACTGGTTTAGCAGTCAAGGGCAGTCACCAAGTATGAGAAGCTGTCACTTACCAAGCTGACTCACGGGACTCAGGAAGGGTCTGCAAGAAAACCAATACTGTTACCTGACATGAACACACAAGACGGACAGATTAAACATCTGAATAACCAACTTCTAAACATAACGGGACAGAATTAACTAACTGAAATTAAGTCAGTGTATCAGCTGTTAGGAGGGGGTAGAGCCTATCACCTGTTGATAAGGAATGAAATCCCCGCTTTGTTCTCCAAAATCCACTTCAGGGTTGCAAGGTCATAGTTCTCAGGGTGTTGAAAGGGGACCCCTTCTGGGAGCCCCTGCACCACTACGGCTGCCTGGTCCCTCAGCATCTTCTCGTAAGGAACAGGCACCATCGCTGTCGTCCCCAAGGCTTTGCCTAGAAGAAGCAGCAGGATGTCTTTAAATAATAGGAGCATAAATCCCTGATAGTCAGTTTCACTTAGTGTCATAAACACAGGTGGTGATATTTGGTTCTGAAATTTATTAAAAGCTTAAAGTGTCCTATGCCTCTATATCTCAAGTTAATAAAATTTCCGACCAAAAGGCCAAAAGAAAAAGTATAAAATGTTTTCCTTTAAATCTTCACATAAGAGAATATAATAGGTTGCATAATCTATAAAAATATTGAATCACAGGGGCTTCCCTGGTGGCGCAGTGGTTAAGAATCCGCCTGCCAATGCAGGGACATGGGTTTGAGCCCTGGTCCGAGAAGATCCCACATGCTGCGGAGCAACTAAGCCCATGAGCCACAACTACTGAGCCCGCGTGCCATAACTACTGAAGCCCGTGTGCCTAGAGCCCGTGCTCCGCAACAAGAGAAGCCACCACAATAAGAAGCCCGTGCACCGCAACGAAGAGTAGCCCCTGCTCGCCGTAACTAGAGAAAGCCAGCGCGCAGCAACGAAGACCCAACACAGCCAAAAATAAATAAATAAAATAAATAAATGTATTTAAAAAAATATTGAATTACTATGTTGTACACCTGAAACTAATATAATATTGTAAGTCAACTATATTTCAATAAGTAAATTAATTAACTAAAAATAATCTATTTCCAAAAGAAAGAAACTAATAGGTCTTTTTCTCCATTCTCCTGGAGGCTGCACAATGCAGGGTGCTCACCCTGGTGCACCCAGGGCTGCAGGGAACAGCCTGAGGTTACTCAGGCTGCAGCCAAAGAGGATGAGAGCCCTGCCCAAAGCTTAGCTGTCCCTGTGTCACACTGTACAGATTGGGCCAACTTGCCTGTAGAAAGCTGAGTCCACCTGGGGATACGTCGGTGTCTCTGCACTGGCTGACCAGCCCCGAGGTGCTGGAGCTCCATTTCTCATATGGAAGTGTAGCCTGAGACCCTAAGATCCCCTGTGCTGGAGGAGTCCCACAAATCCAAATGGTCACAGGGACCTGCAGGTCACACAGATGTTTGCAGCTGTCTAGGAATGATGACCCAGGCCCTAAGATGCTAAGGTGCTTCTATCACAAGTACAACACCTGCAGACTTCCTTGTTATCTAGCTTTTTTAAGCACTGTGTAGGTATTAAAAAAAAAAATCCCTGTCTCCATGCCTGTGGGAAGATGTGGGTAGGTGGGGAGACCAATGAGGATGAGGCTGGTGCGTGAACCAACCATGAACATCTAATAACTGCATGGCCATGGGGAGGGGGCTCTGCAAAGACTGAAGGCTGATGAATTCAGAGGTTCCAATGGACCAGAAGAGACCAAGTGGTCTTCCTTAAGAAGACTTGATCTGGTACTTTACTGGCTCTTCCCTTGATGTGAATGTGGATTTTTCCAATGTTAGAGACGGTCTAAATAGTCACGCTGATAAAATGATTTCTAAAACCATCTTCTGTAGTGAACTATTCAGAGAATTAATGCTTAAAGTGAGCTTTACCGTAACAAAAGCAGAAATAGTCCTCGACGGCTTTTCTGAGTATTTCCGTTTCTCCTGAATCAATCTGCATCCCGTTGGCAGGGCCTGGGGGTTTCACCTCCTGCAGCCCTTCGGCAATGCCTGTAAACGAGTGATCAGTACAAAGTCAGTATCCAAGTATCTGTACTGTGCGTTTTCTTAACGTCCATGCTTCTGGTACTGAAAGGAAAAAGGAATAGACATAAAACAAGATCTTTTTTTTTTTAATAAATTTATTTATTTATTTTTGGCTGCGTTGGGTCTTTGTTGCTGCGCGCGGGCTTTCTCTAGTTGCAGCGAGCAGGGGCTACTGTTCGTTGCAGTGCGCGGGCTTCTCACTGTGGTGGCTTCTCTTGTTGCGGAGCACAGGCTCTAGGCGCGTGGGCTCAGTAGTTGTGGCGTGCAGACTCAGTAGTTGTGGCTCACGGGCTTCAGAGCGCAGGCTCAGCAGCTGTGGCGCACAGGCCCAGCTGCTCTGGGACATGCGGGATCTTCCCGGACCAGGGCTTGAACCCGTGTCCCCTGCATTGGCAGGCGGATTCTTAACCACTGCGCTACCAGGGAAGTCCAAAACAAGACCTTTTAATTAAAAAAAAAATACACAACAAAGAACAGGCTATTTCTGATGAACAGGATAAAATAACATAGTGATCACCTGTGAAATGAATCTACTGATAAACAATAAATAATTCAACATATAAGGAAATATTAGTAGTTCAGAGGAAATGGTAACAGAAAATTGTTTGCTGGGAATTCCCTGCCGGTCCAGTGGTTAGGACTCTGCGCTTCCACTGCAGAGGACTCGGGTTCCATCCCTGGTTGGAGAACCAAGATCCCGCAGGGCAAGTAGGGAAGCCAAAAAAAAAAAAAGAAAAAAGAAAATTATTTGCTATCCAGTCTGCAAGTGACAGTCACTGTGTAGGAAGACCCTCAGCACTGGGCAGGTTCGGGAACAGCCCCCCTGTCAGCTGCTACTGCAAAAGTTTTGAAACTGTTTGTTTTCATCAGGGTTAGTCAGGACACAGAAACCACACATTAATTTGAACAGGGAAAGTTTAATAAAAGAATCATTAGTGGGACTTCTCTGGTGGTCCCAAGGTTAAGACTCTGTGCTCCCAATGTGAGGGGCCCGGGTTCGATCCCTGGTGAGGGACCTAGATCCCACGAGCCATAACTAAGAGCCTGCATGCTACAACTAAGACTTGGTGCAGCCAAAAAAAAAGAACCAAAACAGAATCGTAGTAACAAGGATGAACTGCTAAGGGGTAATGAGAACTCTAAACAACACAAAGTAACAGGCAGCAGGAGCATCGACCACCACAAGGGCTGAGGGAGAAACTAATCCTGGAAGAGAGTCCCCCCGAGGCTGAGGTCCAGGCCTCTCTGGGGAGGAGGCAGAGTCTGCAGGGGTGCCATAAACTGGGGCTGGCAAGCAGGGACCCGTCCTCTAGAGGTGCTAGTGGAAACCACTGGCAAGTGGCCCCCGGGGTGCCGCCAGATTCGCTGTTGCAGGGAAGCTGTTCTCTGGGGCGGTGGCAGAACTCTGGAAACCACCCATGGGGTGATGCCAGCAGAACTTTCTAGGAGGCCTCTCTCTCAGGCACTGGTGGAACTAACTCCCTGGGAAACTGCCGGTGGGTGTGGTGCCCCTGAGATTTCTCTGGGAAGCTTCCTTCTGGAACTTTCTGGGACTTCTGTGTGACTTGCTGGGCAGCTGGCCGGGATGCAGGGGAGCCAACTGGATGCTGTGTGCGGCAGGGGTGCCCCTGGGAATCCCAAGTGCAATTGGTCACCGTGTGCTACAGGTATAAGCAGGTGCGAGCCCACTGGAAACGGGAAGAGAAGTGTCTTCCTCCTCCAGGGACCTCCTGAAAAAGCCTCCAAGGTAGGTCCTAGGCCAGCTGCCAAGGGAGAAATGTTTACAGGGTCCAGTTCCAGTATCACAAGGCAGGACAAAGAAGGGTGGACTTGGAGTAGAGAGGCAGTAACTTGAAAACCGTCAAAGTGATTTCTTGGGCCAGAGAGGCTTGTACCATGGAGTTACGTTCTAGGGTCAAATGTAAGGCAAAAATCATGCACAGACAGAATTATACTTGAAAACCCTCAGACATCCAGGAAGTACAGGATATATATAGTTCTGTGTAAACAATTCTGCAAAGCAATTCCTAGGCATGTTCACATATCAGAACCAATTAGGCTAAAAGAAGGAAGCAGGTGAAAACCTATGTGTGTTTGGTCATTCAAACAATTTTGGCCCACAGGTAAAATAAGAGGTAAAGAGAATAATTGACAGTACTGCCTGCAGGTTTAGTCCAGGGGTCAGTGAACTACAGCCTGGGGCCACATCCTGCCCGCGGCCTGTGTTTTGTATGACCTGTGAGCTAAGAATGGTTTTTCATATTTTGAAATGGTTAAATAAGTTCAAAAGGACTTACTTCATAACCTGAGAAAATAACACGAAATTCACATTTCAGTGCTGTAAATAAAGTTTTATTGACCAGGTGCATTCATCGCCATATCACCTGCTTCTACTTTCGTGCTACAAAAGCAAGGTGAGTGGCTGCAGCAGAGGCTGTAATGACCCAGAGACTAAAACAGTTACTATCACTCCCATTACAGAGAAAGCTCGCCAGTCCCTGGTTTACTTTATATTGCTTTAATATTAAGCACCTATAACCCTAACCCAGGTTGATTCTAAATTCCTTCTGTTTTGAGGATTAAATTTGTGAATGCTTATACAGCAGGGAGTTGGTTCCTAACTTCAGAAGGCAGGTAAATGTGTTTTTGATGCAATTCCATGGTAATTTTTCCTAA